ACACACACACACACACACAAATAAACAAATAAGCAAATCAACTCAACAAGTGAAGGATTAAATTACGAAACACAGGGTTAAGATATATATGTACGATTTATTTACTTAACGAAACGTCTAAATATCGTTAAAGTATAACACTATATTATAAGAGTATATATGTCTATATATTTTAAAGATATTGTATGAAAATATAAATTGCAATTCTCACACAATTAAAGATGGCCTCCCGAGACTAATACGAGGAATCTGTAAGAAATCGCTGTACAACGTGAATATATCAGATTGTATTCAAAAATAAACTAAACTGAAAAACGAGTATTATTTCAGGTCTATCTGAATGAAAATATTAAATGAGAATTTCTCCGCGGTTTCAGGTAATGGCAGTCAGTTGCATGTGCCAGCAGTAATTGCTGACGTCACGAGCCCGCCAAGGAGCAAGAATTAAAAAATTCCGTTTTATCACATTTGTCCAAATGGCTGTACTTTCTAATCAAGGGTTCAGGATAAACGTGATCCAGAACAACTTTTTCTGCCTGTCGTGCAACGAAACAAAACATGAAATAATACAATTTTATACCAAATCTGTTTGACGGCATGATTTATGTGGGAATGCATATTATATAATGTTGAAACATCTATGATAATCTCTATTTACTTGTAAAATTATTACGTTTCGCCATCTTGTGATGTAAACCATCGATCCATTTCTTTACGTTGTTTTAATCTAATTAAAACACTACTCAAGGTAGAATACAAACATGTAAACGTGCCCGCTTATCTAACTAAACCTCAACTAGATACAACAAGATACAATGAAGTCGTTTAATACTCCGTACAAATTTGACGTCGAATTTGATATGGAACCAAACTAGCGCGCGCTAAAAAATTGCAGTGTGTACACGCTATCCCGCTCCAAATACGCGCTGGCCCGCCCCAAGTTGGCCCCGCTTACGAAGCAGGGCTATCTTGGTGCGCACCAAGTTATCCCGCTCTAACTCTGTGTCTGTAATCTGCTCTCTGCCTAACTCGCGCTAAGTTGTGCAATGCGCATGCGCATAGCCTTACTTAGGTCACGTACGCTCGCTCGCACGCACGCTCGCTGTACCACGCTGTCTGTGGGATGACGTGGCGAGCAGGGAACTGAGCGGTGGGAGAAATGATGACTCATACTTTGGCCGCTTCAGAGTTTTGTGTTTGTACGCTCTTAGTTAGCGCAAGTTAAGATAGCGCGCGTTTGACGCGCGTCTGACGCGCGCTAAAATTCGTAGTCTGTACGGGGTATAAGTATATTAAAACTTATTCTATGAACTACGCTGTGAACCAAACTGTCTGCCATCTTGTAAATGAATAACCTACTGCGATCAAATCGGCGTCCGACATAATATTCGGTGTTCTTTTAATTCAATATTTTGGTTAAAATCTGTGATATGTTCTTCTATGTTGCATCCTATCGTTCTTTCTTATGTTGAATATATGCCAAAATCTATTATTGAACACCTTTATAAGATTTAGTGTTTTAGCATGTGCTTACATAGCACTCTATAGCGAAGGACATCCATTTTAAGTCCCGTGCTCCTGTTAAAAACATCGTACTGATAACACAAATCGAATTATAGAGAAATGTATCAGTTTTATATCCTTACTGTCACCATCACCTTAAGGTGTGACAGTGGGTGCAGGCGGGGATGGGGTTCCCACGCAGACTCTGTGCAGATAATCCCAGTGTGCCCACGTATCGTAGTCAGCCGGCACCGTATCTCTGCTCTGCGCGCTCAGGTAACACTTGCCGCGCTCGCACGAGTCGACGCCGCAGAACTCGATCGAGCGGCAGAAGAAGTCGCTGGCGTCGAGGCACGCCTGCACGCACTGTTCCTCGCTGAGTCCGCTCAACTCTCGCTGGTTGTGTCCGTGCAGGCCGCCGGTCGGATGCAGCGTGAAGAAACAGTACGCTGCAAGGTAAGCGGGGGACAAGGCATGATGCGCTGCGGCGCTCGTCATCTGCTGTTGCTTGGCTATACGTTACTGGCATCTATGGAGTTTTTCCTCAGCTATACTGATAACAGGCTGTGAGAACCAAGGGTGCCTCACTCTGACCCAGAACCCCAACATCTCCAAATAAAAAAGTGATGATTGCACTCTCTCACACGCGCACGCACACGCACACAAACACAAACACGCACACAAACACAAATACGCACGCGCACACACATACTCACAGAATGAGAGAATGGGGGAAGGAAGGTGAGCAGACACACACAATATTTAACCATCTAAACATAAAATAAATAAATGAACAAATAAATAAATGCACGCGTACGTGCGTGTGTAGAGGGAGCGATATTTTTCATGCACATATAGTCACCCATACCTTTCGCCTGGGCTTTCAACTCGGCAGCAGTGATGCTGATAGTCTGTAAGGCCGTATATAACTGCGCCATAGGCCTAACGCATAAAAAACAAGAACAGTAGATGAAGCATGTGACACGGTTCTGTAGTAGGAACATGCAGGCTAAGAAGAAGGACACTCCCCTGACATGCTTGCAGAATTTCTTTCGCAATTACAAAGCGTTTTAATAATATTAAAATTTAAATTGCAAACACAACGCGTGCCCAAGTAGGCCTATAGAGTCGCACAGTATTATTATGTTCCTTGTTGCACAAAAATTCAGATTTCCGTTTTTATGATTGCGGATTAATTACATACAGTTACTGTAAAGTTCTGCCGAGCGCAATATGTTCATCGTATACACCTATAAATCTTAGTAAAAGAGGAGAAGAAATAAAAAAGTCGCGACAAGAAACTAAACAAATAATCACGGTAGGTGACGTCAACATATGCACTGCGCATGCGTAATTCTCGTGCCACTTACTTAAACAACTTTATATATATAATATAGCAATATTATATATATATATATATATATAAATATATATATATATATAATAGGCTAAGGCTTCATTTACATGGAACGGTCTGATAGGTCAAGACCTCTTCGCAGTTGCTCGAAATCGTTGCGCAAGTTCATTCAAATCGCTACTAATCCAGGCAACCGGTCTTGCACATCGCTGTCTGGTCCCTCCGCGCGACACTTCGTCTGTCCCTGCAACACGTACGACAGACAATGCATTATCGTATGTTTTATACTGTGTTGTCGTGCGTGCGTTACGTGCGTGCGTGAGTGCGTGCGCGCTTAGTAAATGTTTCAGTATAGCATTGTCCCACACATGTATAGCTAGCTGTTTGTAAATGTATGACCCTCGTGTTCATAAGGCGAGCGTCGATTAAGTCAAAAAAAGGTCACGTAATATATATATATAATATATATATATATTATATAAATATATATATATGTTGTTGTGGTTGTGTGGTGTGGTGTGTTGTGTTGTGGTTGTGTGTGTTGTGGGGGTTGTTGGTTGTGTTGTGTTGGTTGTGGTGTTGGTGTGGTGTTTGTGTGTGTGTGTGTATGCGTGCGTGCGTCCGTGCGTGCGTGCGCGTGCGTGCGTGCATGCATGCATGCGTGTGTGCATATATCGTATCTGGTTACTAATATATTTTGCTCAAATATTTACACCTATCAGCACTCACTCACGTATCAGCACTCACTCGTTTGACAATGTACGTGTGTACGCAATAGTCATCATCATTATCATCATCGTCATCTTGTTCTCCTCGGAACGTGTTCCCTTCGCCTTCGCTTCGAAACGCAGACATCTGACTCCTGTAGCGAACTCTGCGATTATTACTACTGATTCCTCCACGCCAGCCTTCCTCTCCCTCGGCTACGGTAGTTGCAGCCATCAAAACAACCGCAATCACGATGAGATAAAGTGCTTTCATCTTGTTCTGGGAGTAGATCTGGTAGATCTGGTAGATCTGGTTCATATGGTCGCAATACTACGCGGTACGAGTAGCTCGAACAAAATGGCGACTGATGTCGATTTGGAGGAATATATACCCTAGCGTGCAGGTCCTGCTTTTTTCCCCAAGGACGATACTATTACACGGGCTGTTATATCTGCTGTTTCCCATTCTTCATTTTTTCTTTGCTTCACTCTGACACCCTATAGTGTCCGCTTATCTCACGCCCTCAATAACCATAGGTCGTCATGGATGTTGTCGGTTGGTGGGTATGACAGGTTTTGGTTACCAGAGCTCAGCTGAAGACGCTCAGACGCGCCTATGTTGCCAGGGTCGTAGGAGCCGACGACTGGACATATGGCGCTTTACGAGCCCAGGCACGTAGACTATATAGGGCGTCTATCTAGGGTATCTATAGACTATATATCACGACGTCACATCTAACGGAAACTGTCTATGTCGTTTGCGATTCTCGCTGCTGTCGAGTGATCACTCTAAGTAAAACAAACTTAATTATTATTCTTGAAAAAAGTTAGTAGCAATCGAAAAATGGATAGTGGGGAAAACGACCTACGTGCTGTCGTTGTGTTCGAGCGCCAAGCGTGCAGTGAGTTGTGGATTCTATGGTCAGACGCAAGACAGCACATGTTAGCTTTGCGTGGAGTGAGTGGTCGAGCTCTATAGTAACTGTTGTTGTTGTTGTTTTTGTAATGTGAGCCTCAAAATCAGGATGAGGCTACAGGCAATGTTCCCATGTGGCGTAATTAAAATCTACAGCTCCTAGAGGGCGCCAGTTGTTAAGAAGTAGATTAAATAGTGCCAGAGCCAGGGGCGTAGCTAGGGATAAATGAATGTGTACCCACACCGGCATGGGGGGTCTGGGGGTCCTTCCCCAAAAACATTTTGAAAATGTAGATCGCAGGAGATGGTATTTGAGGCACTTTTGAGTAAATGTACAGCCTTCATTCTGACTATGACAATTATCTTTTTAGTAGAACTATTCTCTTCATGAGCAACAAGATGTGATCGCTAAAGATCATTATAACTAAGTATGTAATTTTCGTTTTACTATCAAGACATGTTGAACTAACGCACATTCTTAAACTCTCTCGTTCCCTAGCTCTCTCTCCCTCTCTGTCTGCGTGTGTGCGTGCGTGCGTGCGAGCGTATGCGTGTGGGCGCGTGTGTGTGCTCAAACACACACACATCACTCATTGCACATCACATCACATCACATCACGGCATTATTTAAATTGACTACGTCACGAATTTTCTATGGTAAAATTTGTAAAATTTGTGTTGCCAGTTTTTTTACATTAAAAGTAAGAACTCACGGGACTAAACGTATCGTCAAATTCTTACCTGATAAGATTGTTTCTCAACTAGTTAAAAATCCAAAAAACCTGGACGATTCGATATTAGTGTTCCTGACATTAATTGCTTGCTATGGGCTATGTATGCGTCACAAGTGTATGTTCACATCGAACAATATAGTAAAATAAGAAGTATAATGCAGCAATTTAAAGCCGCACTATGCGCATCCAAACGCTAATTTCTCAAGTAAACTCTAGTTCCTCCCATTTCACTGCGCGTTTGCTTAAAACCCACAAGAAAGAGGTGTGAAATCTGGCAATCTGGCGCCAATGCCGAATTGTTTGCCAAACAATTTAGCCCCGAATCGGTTAGGTGACGTCACATGTTGCTACGGGCTGCACTCGCTGTACGGGTTGCTTGACAGAGCAACGCGAACGTGTCAACAACATCGGAGAATTTGAACAACATTGGAGGTATTTTCAAATACCTTTTATAAGACAACGTGCGTGCGTGCGTGCGTGCGTGCGTGTGTGTGTGTGTGTGTGTGTGTGTGTGTGTGTGTGTGTGTGTGTGTGTGTGTGTGTGTGTGTGTGTGTGTGTGTGTGTGTGTGTGTGTGTGTGTGTGTGTGTGTGTGTGTGTGTGTGTGTGTGTGTGTGTGTCTTATAATATGGTTAAAGATGGGCTAATGCAAAACAAACGAGCACATGGAGCAAAATAGCATTTCTAGCAGTGTCAAGTAAAATCTCTTACTCAATGTCATACTTTAATAAAACAGTGTGTACTGGTTTCCGTGCGAAAGCGCGGTTTGGAATATCTAACTTATATTGGCAGTGCACGTATAGATTCATGTAGGCAGCGAGCCAGTGCCACCTACAATGATTCTTTATTAAAACTTTGCTAAATAAACATTTTGATATATCCTTGTTTAATTACAGGAACTCACTAGTTTAAGAACAAAGTGATAGACTCTTTACACTTTACATGGATTTACAATCCATGTGACAATGTTACCGAATTTCGTGACACTGTAGCATTGGTTTTTATCGCTGTCTTTGTGTATGCCAGGTATTTACCAAACGAAACAGCACAACAAGTTGAAATATGTGAAACAAAAAGTGTTAACTTAATGAGTAGTGTGATACGGAAAATCTCTGTCACGATGTCTCTATAGTATTAAGGCGCATATGCAATCACCTAAAAGTTCACATTACGGCAGGGCATACGATCAGTGTTGGTGCCTCCCCAGTATTTTCCAAACGAAATGTCTTTTGGTTGATATTATGCAATCGCAGTAGATAGCACAGATTCACGAATCTTCGATATAAAAAGTTCCGATCCCGATATGTCACGCAAATAATTAGGGTGGCATCACATGTTTTGCCAGAATTTCCCGACACTAGATGGCGCCGTGTGTTGGTGACGCCAGCATCTATTGGCGGCTCGCCGTTTTCGGCAAATTCATGCGATGATCCAGGATCGTTACTATTTGATTTCTGTCCATCACTGCCAACTACTTTTTTGTAACTACCTATTGGATGCTACAGACATCCGCACAGATACCGTATAAAAAAACATCGGTCTGTCCTTAACAATCTACACCGACACGTCTTGGCGGTGTAAACTTTCTTAATGATCAAATATGGTTCTCTCTCTCTCTCTCTCTCTCTCTCTCTCTCTCTCTCAAATGTTTAACAGGCATTACGGCAAAAATTGTCGGCCGTGTCTCTTGAGGAGAAATGCTTTAATCACACGAAGGTTAGCAATATAGTTAGCAAGTGAACTCGGATGACAGTACATAGAGTGAGTGCGTGGGCACCGTTCGTTTCGTGCGCATGCGTTACCGTAAAAAAACGAGCGCTTAAAGGAGCCTTCCCACGAAATTTCAAGCGGAAAACATAAAATCAGGCAAAATGTATTATTTTAACATTGCTGCACATTTGTACTTGCCTATATAATTTTATGCGTGATAGGTAAAAAAATGCTCGGGAATACGTTCATTCAAAGCTTTTAGCCTACAAAGTGAAAGTGTCGGGTCGAATGTTTCAAACAGCGTTTACTTTTGATGCTCTGCGGCGATGTTTTGACGTATACGTCGTCATCAATAAATGAGCCTTTACACAGAACCGCCGTTATACAGAACCGCGGCGAAAAGCAAGGTTGTTTTTTCGTTGAGCAAATATAGGCTTGATGCATATTGTTATACAGTTTTATTTTCAAAGCTAACGTTTAGTTAATGTGCAGTGAGTTATTTACTTATGTTTTTACAGTGGTTTGTTACAAAAATGTTCATGGAAAGACATCTTTAACTAATAGCGTCATTTTACTCTTTAAAATACCATAAACATAATAAATATACTTACATCGAATGTTGACATGAAATAATCAATAATTTGAGCTGTAATTAAGAGTAAGTAAATAAAACTTATTTTGCTCATGTATAAATTCACACGTCTTCTACGGAAGTAATAGCGTAAAAGAAATATTAACGCCTTTGCTTTTCGTATATGCCGTTTTTCCAGACGCCGCCTTTGGTTCGTGCGTTTGCTCTGATCCGTGGCAGCAAAACTTGCGTGCGTGATGGTTGTTCCCGAATCACCTGCCCACTCTTGTCTACACCATAAACAGTTGCTAGCGCGGGGGACTCAGCAACAGAATCTGATATACACCTACTCGTCTAATTAACTCATAAATTTGAATAAATTATGATGAAAGGAGGCAATTTTATGCATACGAAGCTCGGCGCTGTGTATTCGTGTTGATGTTACTACGATACCACAACTATATATCGTCATGATATGAGTTATGGGATCGTAAAGTAAAAACGACTTATATGAGATCTCTTACTCAACTCGACTTTATTCTCTCTAGTTTTTTTTTCTCACATTTCCATGATGATGAAATCGACATTTTAGAAACGATGGAGCAGATATAGCGATTTCGATATTGTTATATTATATAACGAGTCATTGACGATGGCGTTGGTTGCCGCACGGTGCAGCTGTTCTCGTTGCTGCTGCTGCTGCTGATGATGTTGATGATGATGATGATGGTGATGATGATGGTGGCGATGAGATGATGATGATGATGGTGATGGTGGTGAAGGTGATGATGATGATAATGATGATGATGATGCTACTACTACATGTACTACTACTACTGCTGCTGCTGCTGCTGCTGCTGCTGCTGCTGCTGCGCACATACTCACGCAGCATCCCTGTGTGCGCGCATCTTCTCTTCTATGAGGCTGCTGCTACTGGCGAATTATTGATGACCGAGGGAGCAGCAACAAGATCGAGAGCGCAGCAGCAGCAGCAGCAGCGTCAATATACGCTTACCCGCTAGCACATATCTGAGTCATCGCGAGATGGCTGGACACAGCGGAGGCATGGGCGGCACGAGCAGCAGCAGCAGCAGCAGAAGCAGCAGGGTTAGATCTACTCGCGGTAGTCGGGCCGCGTATTACTGAGTGCTCCCGTACTCGCGAGCCTGGACCTGTCTCGGTCGTGTGTAGACGCGTGCGATACGCGCTGCAGGTGCGTGCGTGCGTGCGTGCGTGCGTGCGGATATGTGACACCGCGATCGTGACAGGCGACATCGAGTGATTATCTAGTGTGCTGACGAACGGCTGTGCGTGCGCGCGCGTGTGTGCGTGCGCGTGTGAGCGTGCATGCGTGGCGACCGCATCGTACGTGAAGGGCACTGGCTTCACAGCCTCCTGATAACGCGTGGTGAAAGTGTTTTCTCGCTCAACCCTCTCTCTCCCTCTCAACCCACTCTCTCGCTCAACCCTCGCTCTCTCTCTCTTTCTGTCCCTTTCTCCTGCTCCCTCCGCGCTCCCTCTACCTCTGTGTTGCGTCGCAGTGTCTATCGCTCGTCGCGTGTGTTCCTGCTCTACACGGAGAAGCATCGGTGTTGACGTGACGGATACATAACAACACTTCATTCGCGAGGGAACCTACGGGCAGACAACTACGCATTCGAACAGACGACAGTGTTCTAGCAGACAACTACACATTTCAGTGGATGACCACGTTCTAGCATCTGATAGCTACACTGTGAATGCTACATCGTGCGCGTAACTACACTGTCTCAAGCCGTCGCAGTGAGTTCCACGCAACAGATATACGATTCATTCGCCAATATAACGATCGCGGATTACTACAGCGTAGAGTATCGCCGCGCGGCATCACGACTACACGCATCAGTCAGCTGATATACGCAGCAGCTACACGCAGTACACGCATCAGCTACACGCAGCTACACGCATCAGTCAGCTGATACACGCAGCAGCTACACGCAGCAGTCAGTAACTACACGCAGCAGCTACACGCAGTAGTCAGCAGCTACACGCAGCAACTACACGCAACTACACGCAGCAGCTACACGCAGCTACACGCAGCAGTCAGCAGCTACACGCAGCAGCTACACGCAACTACACGCAGCAGCTACACGCAGCTACACGCAGCAGTCAGCAGCTACACGCAGCAGCTACACGCAACTACACGCAGCAGCTACCCGCAGCTACACGCAGCTACACGCAGCAGTCAGCAGCTACACGCAGCA